CTTTTATTCATTACGTAAACCTTCCCATGTCCTCTCTCCCTACCTTTGCACAAGCTGTCCCCAAATGCCTTTCCTCCTTACCTCAGCCTTTTAGAATTTCTAGTTTCCTTCAAAGCTTAGCTAAAATGCCACTTTTTACAGGAGGCCTTTGCCAAATCCCACAACTACTAATGCTTCCTCCAAAAAGGAATTTACCTCGTATCTCTCCCACATATTTTGTACGTTGTCTCCTCCAATAGACTATGTTTCTTGATTGTAGGGGCTATTACATTTATATCTTTGTATCTCCAGCACTTAACTCTATACTTAGAAAGTAGTAATAAGTTCTAAATAAATATTTATTTACTAATTAACTTAATGATTAAGCACAGTAGGAAGCTGGTTTTAATGCCCAGAATAAAATTTGTTGTTGTCAAATGAAATTTCAGTTACCTAAGTATCACTAATTTCTTGGACAATTTAATAAAAGTCTGAATGCCATTGACATGTCAATATATCAGTATCACATTTTTTTTTCATTATGTGACTTGGGATTTAAAATGTGTTTGCATATCTTATTTGCTTATGGTCCATAATAAAATTATACTTAAATTGTCATTTAAAACTCAGTGTTAAAGTGATGAGGAAGCAAAGGAGTGTACAACCAGCAATTTAAAAATAAGAGGGAGAAGGGGCAGCTAGGTGGCACAGTGGATAGAGCACTAGCCCTGGAGTTGGGAGGGCCTGAGTTCAAATGTGACTTCAGATACATAGCACTCACTAGCCATGTGACTCTGGGCAAGTTACTTAACCCCAATTGCCTCACCCCCCCCAAAAAAAAAAGAGGGAGAGTATGGCACAGTGGAAGGAGCATTGAGCTTAAAATCAGAAGATCTGGGCATGATTTCTGGTTCTGACAAAAGTTACCTGTGTGGTTTTAATCAATTCACTTCAGCTTCCTTGTCTGTAACATGAGAAAGTTGGGCTTGATGACCGCTTAGGTCCCTTCTACCTCTAGATTTATGATCCTATGAAGAATGAGGAATTGTAGGGCACCGGAGCACTCGCCCCTTTCTGCCATCGTTATCCATCCCTGGGTTTTGACCTATAGGCTTAAACATAGTTTCATCCCTTTTCTGTATCTAAGCAACCCTTCCCTTTTTAAATGACAACTACACATTTCCCTGTAGTCTTATTGTTTGCCTCAGGAAAAGAAATCGTGAACACCTTGGAGGCCTCTGCGTCAATTTCTTCAGTGTCTCCCTTTCTTCTGTCTCCCCAGGAATCAAGGGGCGTTTTTAGCCTTGTCTCATTACTCCCCTGGTAACTGAGTGCTGGCTGTTCCTGCATCTGTTTTCTGTTGCCTGGGTGGGAATTGAAATGGCCCTTCCTGTTGCTTCTTCTCCATTCACCTGCCCGATGGCAGGCAAGTTGCCGGGAAACAGATACAGTGAGAGAAAGAAAATGAGATCTGAAAATGCTTGTCAGAGGCACCCTACCAGGCAGCGAATCAATGTGTCTTTCAGAATCCGAGAGATGGAAAGGACTTCAGAGGTCATCTAGTTCGGAGGTGTCAGACACATGCCCACAGCACTCTGGAGTACGGCCTGAACCAAATTAAAATGTAGTTTGTATCTGATTTTAGTGTGTTGATGTATTAATAAATAAATATGTATATATATACAACATATACATATACACACATGTAAAAGCATACCTAGTTTTCTAGGTCAACATACAGCCCACAGGGATCCTTATGTACAGCTTAGCGGCCCCCATTTCTATTTTGGTTTGATACCACAGATCTAGTCCACTTCTGATCAGAGAAGGAATCTACTCTACAGTATCCCCAGCATTTATCCACCCTATACTTGGAGACCCCCTCCAGTGATCAGGAGCTCACAATCTCCTCCCAAGACATTGCATTCACTTTTTGAATAGCTTAAGTGTTAGGAAGTGTCACATATTGAAACAAAATCTGCTTGTCAATCAATCAGTCAATATTTATTAAGTGCTTACTCTGTGCCATTTGGGCTGTTAGGTGGCTCAGTGGGTAGATCATCAGGTCTGGAGTCAAGAAGACCTGAGTTCAGATCTGGCCTCAGATACTTACTAGCTGTGTGATCCTGGGCAAGTCACTTAATCCTGTGTGCTTCAGTTTCCTCATCTGTAAAATGAGCTGGAGAAGGAAATGGAAAATGTCTCAAGACACTTTGCCAAGAAAACCCTAAATGGGGTCACGGAGAGTCAAACACGACTGAAAAAGGACCCAACAACAACAAAATGTGCCAGGCATTGTGCTAAGCCTGTGTGTGATTTTCATGCAGCGTTCTTAGTTCTATCTTCTTAGACAAGCCTAATCTCTTTTCCATGGGGAGTAGGGAGAGGGGTGTTGACTCATTTTACAGATGAGGAAACTGAGACAAATAAGGTTAAGTGATTTGCCCAGGGTCACACAGCTAGTAAATGACTGAGGCCAGATTTGAATTCAGGAAGATGAGTCTTCCTGACTTCAGGCCCAGTACCCTATCCACTGTGTCACCTAGCTGCCCAAACATTGAATACATAATGCTTATTATTGGTGTTTCCACTAATTCCCTTTACAGATCATGCATTTCTATTGTCATCCTAATCAGTTCTAGTCTTACTGGCCAATATGGATGCTAGAATACATGAGTTTGCTTATCTTAATGTGGCTGAATTCTTTGCTTTCATTGAAAAATAACCAAACATTGCTGTAAATTGATGCAGTCAAGGTTGAAACGGGAAATCTGGTCATTCAAACCACCAAATCCCAGATCCTACTTTCTCATTACTTTCCCAATCTGTAGAAATCCCACATGCAGACCCAAGCTTAGTTGGAAACACAGAAGGTGACTGACTGGATTTTACTGTCAGTGCTCAGGCTTGTAGAAGGAGCCTGAGTGTGCCACCAACAATTCCCACCATATGCCAGTCAATCAAAAATGAAACGGATGCCATATGCCAGGCTGTTGGAAACACACTTTGGTTTTGATGTGGCTATTAAGATGGAAATGTATGTAAAAACATGTGCTTTCTGTCAACCAAATGTCTGACACAGCCATTTTTCTACCCTCTGGCATGACCCCACTTACAGAATTAATAGACTTTGTATCTCTTTGCTAAGTACTCTTTTCAGATTTCCAAAGGGATCACCATGGAAAAGTCTGTTGAGCACCAAAGGGAATTAAATTGAAAGGCACACTTCTGCTTTCTTTTCACCTTTGTTTCAGTCTTTCCTCCTAATAACTCATTTCTGTCTTTTGGAGACAAAAATTGCATAGTACTAACACAACTAAGAAACATGTTGTAGACTGTTTGGGTTCATTTCTGAGTCTCTCCTCTCCCTCTCAGCGTGTCTTTGAATAGAAGAGAGGATCAAAAGAGATGCTTCTTACTGCTAGGCCTATTATACTTTCCTTTCTCAAAGAACTTGTCAGTGGTTATCATGGTCGTAAAACAGACTGTATTTATGTACTACTTTAAAGTCTACAAAGTGCTTCTCTCCCAAGAACTCTGTGGGGAAGGCAGTGCACATATAATTATGCTCATTTTACAGATGAAGAAATTAAGAAATGAAGTGACTTTCAGGTGGTGCAAAATACCACTACTGAGTAACAGTTGGGATTTGAACCTGGGTCTTCAGAGTCTCAAGATGAGTTTTCTAATAATGACGATGCAGTAGAATACCCTTGACTGCCTATCTCCACGCTGAATATTGTACTCTGTTCATGGCCCCTGCATTACTTGACTAAAACCTCCAAAATCAAATTCACACACTGAACATCTTAACAAAGCACCACCTCTTTAAGCCTTCCAAAGCCAGCAAAGCAAGGGAGAGAGAAATGGTGGAGCAGTACCTCATCCCATTATCCATTTAGGCCTCAGTAGAACCCTGAGAAATTCCCCACTGGGAAAACAGGTCACATTTAGAAGCTGTTCAAGGACTGGTGCACAAGCTAGTGTTCATCCCTAAGTACATACATTCAGCCTTCCTAGCAAGGGACAGTTTGGAGAGCTTATGAGGATCTGCTAAGTAAGCCTTGAGAAAAAGAATTTCTCTAAGTCATTCAGAAACTGAAAGTAAAACTTCACTTGTCATTAGTGGTGGAGAGGTTCTGACAGGCCTTACTGAACAGGAACTTAATCAATCAAAAAGCATTTTTAAAGTGCCTGCTCTGTGTAGGTACTGGGCATACAAAAGGGAAACAGATTCTGACTTCAAGCAACTTTCATTCTCTTGGGGAGACATGTCCATGGCCTCCTCCAACACATAGGCTGCTGGTGACTTCCATGTACCCTTATGAGAGTCTCACTCCCATTGTCTGCATGTCCTTGTGACTTTGTCAGTGGGAAAAAAAAAAACACATCCTTCATATACTGACTCTACATGTGAAAAGTTTGGGGACAGTTTGTCCCTTCTAATCAGTGACCTTATCTTCTTCTGGCTTTATACCTAGGTACATATTTCTGGCATCGGCAGGGATTGCATCAGATTTTTTCCCCCAATTCTTCGGACTTAATTAGGAGGCCCAGAAAGTTGAACTGATCCACATGATAAGTTCCACCCAGGGAGACAGGCATGACGTAACCTATTTAGTTTTTATATAGCCCAGGAAATCAGGCCGGATATGGAGGTCTCCATTTTACTAGAAGATAAGCATCCGGCCTCCATTTTTGATAGTCTTATAAATGGTTTTGAGAACCCCAGAGTCAAATTTCTAAATATGTTTTGAAAATATGGACAGGGTCCCAGTGTGGGAACAGTTGAAGCAAAGGATAACGGACTGGTTCAGCTAGCTCTCAATTTCATCCAGCATCCATCAGCATCTTATTTGTGAGGCTATGCATTTGCCATGGATATTTTTCTTTCCTTAGGAAGAAAAAAAAAGAATGGAAAGAGGGGGGATAACCCCACTCCCCTAAGTTTCCGACTCTCACTTGACACCTTCGAGAAATGACTGTTAAGTGAATATTTTCTCCATTGTTGTCTCCACCAGTGAGTGCAAGTGACCCTGACCCTGAAGCCGAGACTGAGACAGAAAGAGGGGAAGCAGAACACAAAGCCGAGGCTGGAGTGGAGCAGAGGGCGGATGTGCCACGTCAGGAAGCGTTATGTCGGCAAGGGGCACCAAAAAGTGAGGGGACCCAAGGACCAGAAGAAAGTGCAATACTCAGTGAGAAGGAAAGGCAGAATGAAGAAGTGAATGAAAAAGACAACTGCTCAGCCTCCAGCATTTCCTCCACAAGCAGCACTTTAGAGAGAGAAGAGAAAGAGGGCAAGTTAACCAGTGATAATGAAGCTGGTAAAGTCCTTTATTCAATCATGCAAACAAATTCTAAGGAAAATTGGGGGTGGGAGAGAGAAGTGAACCACTCGACTGGCCATAGAATAATACACAGAGTGCCCTTGAGGAGTCATAAATTTAAAGCTGAAATGGATCATAAAGGTCATCAGGTCCAACCCCCAATGAGGAAACTGAGGCACAGAGAGGTTAAATGCCTTGTATAGGGTCACATAGCTAATAAGTATCTAAGGCAGGATGTGAACCTAGGCCTTTCTGTCTCTAAGTCCAGAACCCTGTCCACTACACCATGCTGAGGCTATGGTGGTATACAGAGGTAAGAGGCCCAGAGGAACTGTAGCTCTTTATCCTTCTGTAGTGTATGGTAGTAGACTTTACCATAGAGCTGGATTCAGGAATTCTTTTGAACTTGTTGATAATTAAATAATAGGGTGGTTTCTCTTGAGAAATAAGTGTGATAATTCATTGACTATTGATTTTACTATAATCTCTAAAATTCTGTTGTTGTTTTTTTTCAAAAGTAGTGTTGCATTGTGGATATTCCTTTAAAGTCAAAAATGTCTGAGCCCACCTCTCACACATAATGTAACCTTGGGCAAGTCACTTAACTACTCAATACCCCAGGTGTGTCTGTAAGAAAGGGCTTCTTCAGTGGGAATTCCCCACACCCAGGCAATCACAGATTTGAATATAGAAAAGGGAAGAAAGAAAGGAAAGAGAAAAAAGAGAGAGAGGAAGGAAGGAAGGAAGGAAGGAAGGGAGGAAGGAAGGAAGCAAGGATAGGAGAGAAAGAAAGAAAGAAGAAAAGGAGGGAGAGAGGTAAGGAAAGAAGAAAGGAAGGGGGGAGGGTGGGAGGCATACTGCACCAGGCTGGTTTGTTATATTGCGATAATCTTTAAAATATATTGTAAGAGAAGCTATTTTCTTACAACGTTCCCTTTCTTTGTGAGACAATAAGAAATTTTTCTTTCCAGGGTACATTAAGTTAAGAGCTATGTAATCAGTTGTTTGTTACCAGCAAATTCAGGATTTTATAGTTTAATTTTTGTCTTTGTGTCCCTAGTATCTTCATAGTAGCTGGCACATAGTAAGTACTTAGCAAATGCTGATTGATAGATAGAAAGTATTATAATATCATAACACAATGCTGGCATGGGTTGGATTACATTGTGCTGTGAAATTTAATATTTTCCTCAAAATCCTTAATTTGTCTTTTTCCTAGGGTAACAAACAATTGAGAGGCAGCGTTACGTAGTGAACAGACTTCTGGCTGAGATTGAGGAAGCTCTGGATTCTAGTCTTACCTCTGATATAGTCTGGCTTTGTAACCCATGATAAGTCATTTCTCCTCTCAGTATCCAAGGAAGCACCCTCTGACTGTTGGGTACAGAGCAGGTGCCAGTCTGCATTGGTAGAGGGAGTGTCCTCACTGCTAGTTCCTATAACCAATGAAATCACAGGTCTGATTCACCCTTTCCCCCCAAAAAAAAGATTGGTTGTCGAGAGTGAGAGATAAACTGGTATCCTTACAAGGTCAAGAGAAGGCAAGAAAGGCTCACAGCACTTTGGGTGCACCCCTTTGATGCATTTATGGGAGTACATAGACAGGTCACACGGGCTGGGCAGGCCTGGTCTGAATCAACAGGAGTCCTCACATTGACAAGACTGCAATCCACTGCAGTATTTGAGTCACAAAGCTGAACTGTTGTGGTCAGTGTTCTGATGGGAAAAACAATGGTTGATCATAACTCAATATGGTGCTCTAGTGTTATAAAGTACTTTACATATGGAATCTCATTTGATCCCCTTAACAATCTTGGGAAAGAAATAGCATGAACATTATTATTTCCATTTTACAAATGAGGAAACTGAGGTTAAGTGATTTGCCCAGGGTCATGTATATTGTCAGTAGAAGAGGCAGAATCCAAACCCAGATCTTCTAATGTCATACCTCATGCCCTTTATATTATATTGCATGCTGAATTCCTTAAGATTTGATTGAGGCCATTTCCCTCATTTGGACTGCACTATTTTAATTTTGGAGTTACTCCCTTTGGGATCAACATAATCTAACGCTTTCCACTGCTGGGAGAAGAATTTTTGCACAAAGTGAAAAATAGCATATGCGAAGTATGGATTTGATCTTTAAAAAATATTGAAGTTTTTATCATGGGATTTACAAGAATATGCCACATTTAGATTTCTAAGTATAAGGTTAGAAACAATGTGCAAATCCTGTAAAAACTTCCTGTAATGGTGAGCGTGGTGTCACTTATTAACTCATAAACAGAGCTCTTTGCTCTCCTTTTAGTATTTAAAGGATGTTAAATTCCTGATGTATATAGTGATAGTCTTTTTTAGAGTTGCCTATTATTACTCTTTCAAAGTAAACTGATTTGGGGGTCACATGCCATGTGATCAGCTGATTAAATTGCATAGTTTAGGCTAATTTGCCCTCAGTGTGGGCTGAGCAGCAAACTGCAAGCCTGAGCTCCAAGAAACAGTCTTATGGAGCTTAGAGAAAGGCTCATCTCCAGAGAAGTGGCCAGCAGGCATTGATGTGTGCCCCCAAACTCGCAAACACTGTCTCCTAATGTCCTAAAGATGGGTTTCAGTTTGCACTGACAAGGGAGGGCCGCTGCTGGTGAAGTCACAAATCCTTGAAATATTTTTTAAAAATGTCCTCTACCAGAAGATATATAAATTCATTAAAGCTGGATTCTTTAGGGCCTGGTGGCCTCAGAAAGGCTCTCGTGAGGATCATTCAGCAGACTCCTGTGACAGCAGCTCTTTAGTTCCAGAATTACCTTGTTTTTGCATAAATGAGAAAGGCTACATAAATGGTGTCAATTAACAATCAGGCCGACTAATTAAGATTTCCATTTTCAGCTAATATTTGCCTGATCAAAAAGCAGTATCAGGATTTATTGCCCATATTCTTGGCAGCCACGGCAGAGTGACAAGGGAGAAATATGTGATACATTTGCATCTTGGGGATGTTTACTCCAGTCTTTTATTTATGGACCTGCAGGAGTCTGCAGTAGAGTTAGTGCAACGTATGAGAGCATGCTAACACTAAGCTGAGTTTTATTCCGAGTCAGGTTAGCTAGAGTCTCTCCGCTGCTTGCTCAGATGACGTGTACAGGGTTGCAGGCACATACGCTCTGGATCCAAGTTTTCTTCATGTTGCCTGCATCATGTTTTGTTTGTTGTGCTTTAACAGTTAGTCATCATTACCCCGTTTAGCAGTCCTGAAATATATCAACTAGTTGGATTAGTAAAGTAAGCCAATGAACTCATGCAGGTCAGATTATCCAACATTCTTCCAAATATGGATAACTTTTTCAAAGTGGAGTCTCAGCTATCAATCACAGATGAGTGCCTTCTTAGCAAGAACAGGAGATCGACAAATGCTACTAATTACTCACAAGCTGTGATTCTGCCTATACTTTTATAGTATAATTGAATGCCACCTGCTTTACTGCAGTCCATTATTACTGGGCTTTGAGAAGTCCTGCTGCTTATCCAAACAAGCCAGAGTGAATCGGGATAGTTGGCTCTGGCAGTCCTGCCATTCAGTGCCTACAGACACCTTCCATGTGATTCTAAACCCATAAGAGGAACTCAAAGAAAATCCAGTTGCCCTTAGCAGATCTGTGTTTCCAGTGATTATATGTCAGTTTAAAGGGCGGGGGAGAGAATTATAAGGCTTGAAAGAAACTCATCTTTGTTTTTCTTACTTTATGATTTCTTCTTTTGCTCTTACATTCATATTGGTTCTTCTCTGGAGTTTTGTGTAATATAAATCTCATGACAGTGGTAGAAAAGTAAGCAGAGAAAACAGGAGTTTAAAACATTGCACTATTAGTTCTTCTTACCCATGTGAGAAAATACAAACATTGCCAACGTGATAGAGGCACAAGAGAGCTGTTCAGAGCCATGACAAGGTTCATTTTGATTTAGTTCCCATGCCATTTCAAATAGGCTGCTCATCTCTTAATAATGTTTGTTTCTTATGTTTATTTAATTTGTGAAACTGAATAGGGGTTCTCAGAACATGGATTAGGAAAAGTATACTTTTAAAAATCTATCAGCACTGAAGACCTTGATTCTTCTTGGGTGGGTTAGAGTATGACTTTTTGAATTAAATGCTTCAGAAGTTTGAATCAAAGAACAATAAGATAAATTCCTTTGGCTATGGTCTTTGCATGCTGGTGACAAAGTGGAAATGTCTACAGCAGGGATGGGGAACCTGTGGCCTTGGGATCACAGGTGGCCTTCTAGGTCCTTGGGTGTGGCCTTTTGACTGAGTCCAAGTTTTATAGAACAAATCCTTTTATTAAGGGGATTTGTTCTGTGAAGTTTGGATTCCATCAAAAGGCCACATGTGGCCTCGAGGCCACAAGATCCCCATCCCTGCTCTTGAGCCATCCATGATTTCTCTGTTCTACTAAGAGAGAAGAGATATCCCATAGAAATTGGCCAGGGAGATCTTGATTCACTGGGGGTACCCAAGGACCCTATCCCTAGTCAACAGCAGGGACTATGATTTTAACTTTAAAAATCTCTGAACTCTGAGGCTAACTCTGTAGAGAACAGAAGAAAAGAAATAGAAGATGTGTTATCATTAAAGAAGAGAAATGGGAGACTCAAAGCAGGGATCCACCAGCCATGGCCATTCAAGGAAAATTGGAAGGAATTGCCTTCTTTAGAGACAGAGGTCCTCAAAACCGATTCATCTTCATGAATGTGTGACTGGCAGAGGGAATCGGGTCATAGGTTGTTGGGAGACAGAGAGGAGATTTATCACATGCCCAGTAGAGAAACAGTTATCTAGAAGCATCATGATTCCAAGAGAGAACCATCTGGAATCTGGATATACATGCAGGTGTTGATGTGCCAAATGTGTACCCTGCCAAAATGTCATCAGCCTCTTTCGTGTCCGTTACTATCTGCTCTTGTTGATGTGGGTCCCCTCTTTCCAAAGGTTTTTTTCATTAATTATGCTTTTTCTACTTTTTCATTAATTATGCTTGTATAATTTCAGGTCTATGGTCACAGACCATTCAGGATGCTGGTGTAAATGAGCAGTGTAGCAACATTCTCAACAACAAGCGGTTTATGCTGGACATGTTGTATGCCCATAATAAAAAACCTAAGGATGAAGAGGAGAAAGAGCCGGAGAAGGTGGAGGAGAGGAAGAGGACAGAAGAAGATGAGGAGTCCATCACTTGCGTAGCCAGTAGGATCTCTGTTCTCCAGGCCAACACACAGGCTAAAGATGAGAACGTCAGAAAGATGGAGATTGAAAATTTGGATAACCAGGGCAGTGTGAAAGCCTTTGCTGAGAAGTTCAACAGTGGTGAGCTCACAAAAGACTCAGCCTCATCAGAGATGGGAATTGGTGAACAGGTCTCTGATAAGACACAAGCACAACCAAAGAAGGAATCAGACTACATTTGGGATCAGCTCATGGCAAATCCTAGGGAGCTGAAAATCAAAGAGATGGACTTCACAGACTTGGGAGATGAGGATGATATAGACGTTTTGGACATGGATTGGGGTCCTAGGGACTCGCTCATTCCTCCTCCTCCACCTCCACCTTCCTTTCTGTGTTTGCCTCCACCTCCCCCTCCCCCTCTTTTTGATTGCTCATCTCCAACTCCAGCCCCTGCTAATTTATTGGCTCCTCCCCCAGTGTTTGGCACTCCTCAGGGTTTAGGGTGGCCCCAGGTTCCTAGGGGTCAGCCAGCATTCACAAAGAAGAAGAAAACCATCCGTCTCTTTTGGAATGAGGTGCGGCCATTTGAGTGGCAGTGTAAAAACAAACGCTGCAGAGAATTCCTGTGGTCGAAACTGGAACCCATTAAAGTGGATACTTCCAAACTGGAGCACCTCTTTGAGTCTAAATCCAAGGAACTGTCTGTCACAAAGGTACCACTAACATCTAGCTTGTTCCTTTAATTTGTGGCATTTCTTTTCATCATTTGGTAAGACCATATAGCTCTGTAGCTCACAAAATGCATTTATGCTGCCTTATGCATTCAATAGGAGTTGTATATCTATTAGGTTTTGAAGTATTAATTTATCATTCCCATCCTAGACACAAGTTTAATGATTCTTGTTCTTTGGCTCCATTTTAGTTGGTGTGGGCCTGCATCATGTGGGCAGTAACCGATGAATATTAACCAAAATGGCCATCTAAGAACCCAACTGGTCAGAGCTGGGAGGAAGGAAGCTGCATTAAAAAAAACATTAGCCAGTTAGCATTCACGTTAGCCAGTTAGTGAATAATAGCTACTGACTTGCTGGAAAAACGTTGTTGTTGTTCGTTTGTTTCAGTTATGTCTGACTCTTTGTGACTCCATTTGGGGTTTTCTTGGCAAAGATACTAGAGTGGTTTGCCATTTCCTTCTCAAGCCCATTTTGCAGATGAAGAAACTGAGGCAAACAGAGTTAAGTGACTTGCCCAGAGTCACACCATCTAGTAAGTAAGTCAAGTAAGATTTGAACTCAGGGAGATGAGGCTTCCTGACTCCAGGTCCAGCACTCTACTCATTGTGCCATCTAGTTGCTCAGAAATTACGTTATCCAGTCAATTAATGTAGTGATCCAGCAATCCTAATTTAACATTAAACAGTTTGGATGTTGACTATGGGATGCAACTCCGTGCCTACAAAAGAAGGTATGTCATCTCTTGAGTGACATTTCTTTAACTAATTCCTTGAGTAGGCTTATAGAATACCAAAAATATGAACCTTTCCAAATAATCTAATCTCTCTGTGTTTTGGATGGAGTAGACAATATATGTATTGGGCTGATTGATTGAATTTTTTGGTTTACACTTGAATGTTTTAGCCCTTAGCTGATGTATTGCATATATGAATTACACTTCATATTCCAAGTTACTAAAAATAAGATAGCTCTCTATAAGGTACCTATTAAACATGACAAGTAAAAGTTAATATAGGGAACTGAGAAAAAAATCTCCATTAATAGATTGAATAACATATTTCTAATGATTTATTGCATTAAAAAAAGATCCTAGCTTGAACACTCAAGTAAGTTTCTCATCTTTAAAAGCAGGTTGAGAACTTTTAGTCAGTGTATATTGCAGTCTTGAAAACATTTCTTTAATTATCACATCCATAAAATTGTATTCAAACTGCAAATGTCCTTTGTTACCACCCACATTTCTTTCTCCCTCTTAATGAAACAAGGTTTGTGGAAGCACTTTGCCAAGTACACAGCCATCTACAAATGTCATATTTTATCTTCATTAACCCATTCTTCCTCCTTCTCTTGCTAAACATCACCACTTTCAATGACTATTTTCGCTAGATGAGCCTTAAGCAAAAATATTCCATATTCCCCCATGCACACAGATTCCCATAAGGGTCAAATACAAAGGAAATAGAAAAGCTCAAACGTACAAAACTGTTATTTTGTATGTACTCTTTATCTATACTAATCCTTTACTTTTGGGAGAGGGAGGAAGGAGGAAGGGGTAGTATGAAAGGGGATGATCGTTTGGTTATTGTATATTGCCCTGGATAGGTGGCCCTAAATAGCTACATAAGTGGAGTAGAGCACTGAACTCCTATTCCATATCATGGTCTCTTAAACTTCTTCTAGCATTCAGCCAAATGCTCATGACCGATTGGACAGAGTGCTGACAATCCATGAGCAGTGGGAAATGAGTTAGAGGGCCAGGCTTGCTTTCCAGGCACATGGCCAGGAGCTGCCAACAATCCCTTCAGTCCCATCTTTATTCCTCATTGGAATTTCCCATGGTGAGCTGAAAGGATCTGCTACACTACTGCCTTACATCTTAAGGATTAAAATGCTAGTAAGACACAGAGCTATTACAGAGCTACTATAGAAGGTACAGGTCTTCAGTCAACCCATTTGGACTGCCCAGTCAACCAGTGTGGGAAATCTGCTCTATTTGAAAGTAAATCAGTTCTCAGAGTTAAGGCTCTTACAGGACAGAGAACATGGGCATAGAATGAGTTTTGACTTCCTACAACTCATTTCAAATCCATCTCACTGTGTGATATAGAAAGTCTTGTTGTGATTGGCTTTAGTTGGTTCACAAATTTTTCTTTTATCAAATGCCACCTCCCCCAATTGCCTCCTCCTATCACACACACACACACACACACACACACACACACACAGAGTTAAAGTGAAAACCCAGCTGACCCATTGTATACCTACTTTTGTTCCACATCAATGAAGAACTCCATGTGAAAATGAAATATAATTAGATTTTCCCAAAAGGGAGTCTCCTTCAGCAGAAATGCTATCTATATTCTGTCTAGAGAGCCATGTTGGCAGGATGGTTGCCACAACCAAAGAATTCATCAGTTTTATGCCAACTAACTAGTGATGAGTCCCTCCATACTTAACCTTGGACAACAGACTTACTCTTTCATGGGGGCTGTCTTTGAAGCCTTTCTGGTATGGCAAAACCTGTCAAAGTTTTCCCTCTGCTGGTCTAGTTTTTGAGCTTCTGTTGTCACCTCCACACATAAAGTATCAGAAGAGGAATTTGGTGGAGGTTTCTGGGAGACAATGAAGAAAAACCCCTATCAGAGAGGTAGCCCTGCACATTCAGATAACTAAAGACACAATTTTTGTTATGTACATCAAGTAGTTTATGTAAAGATGATACCAGTGACCCATTATCAATGTAATAGTGATTCAAGTTTGAGTAGGAACAATGACAAAGTACCCTCACTTTTTCACCCAATTCTAAGTGCCTCTATTTAAAAGGTAGTAACTAGGAATAAGAATACATCTGTGGCTGTAGAAAATATTTTTAGCTGTTAAAAATGAACTGATTATTACTGAGATCAAGCTGGAAACTTTGGCCCCATTAACCCACTAACTTAATCGTCATGGGTGTCATCTAGATAATGTTTTTCTATTGTGCCAATTTATATGACTGTGCTTCATTAGATTCCCATTGGTCCAAGCCACAGGGGTGAGGAAAATGCAGCCTCGAGGCCACATGTGGCCTTCTAGGTCCTCGGGTGCAGCCTTTTGACTGAGTCCAAGTTTTACAGAACAAATCCTTTTATTAAGGGGATTGAGTCCTTCTGGACTCTAGGGGAGAAAATGGTTTAGCTAGTGAAAACAAGGTTCCCTAATCACCAATGGATGTCCCTGGGAAGAAGCTAACTTTGGCAGAGGGTTGGGAAGAGGAGAGAGAAGTAACCATTTGGCAATGAGGAAACATAAAACTTTATTTGTTTTTTAAAAGGAAGAAGATGACTAAATGACTTCCCCAGGAAACCCTGAGTATGTGGCCCATATAAACACTCTGCATTCTTGGACTCATTAGGACATGACTTTTAGTATGACAGGTCAGGAAAAGTGTTATCAGTACTTAATGTTTCTTAAAAAGTTGCTAGGTTAAAGTTATATTTCCAATAAAGACGAGCTCATCAGTGTAGAGCAGGTTCATCCTTTAGGTAGGGGGTTGGCTACTTGAACTCTGAGATCCCTTCTCACACTGTGACTCAATGCCTCTGATCTAAGATCATATTCCATATCTCAGCTCTGGATTGAGGTCACAATGAGAAGTTTACTGAAACTCATTCTAAGATGTTCCACAACTAGAAATAAAAACACATTTTGGTGTAGCCAAGGTGGGTAGGTGCTAATTAAGGACATGGAAAAGAAAGATGAAATTAAAATTAAATGACATTTATTTTAAAGTTAATATGCATTAAAATGAAAAAAAAAGGTTATCCTAAAGGCTTGACTCCATTTTTTGGCTTGTGTTACTTGATACAGATGTGACCAATTTTACTTCTGTTTCTAATCCTTAACTGTGATTTCCATAAAACACAGCTATAAACAGCCACTTCCTAATTCTGGCTCACAAGAAGTTTTTTATTAAATACAATAGAGTGTACAAAAATAAAACGAAATAGACTTCACGTGGCAGCATATAACACAGGGGAGTCATTTGTAATTTAGGACAAAAAACTTACACCAAGAGAGATTCATAGGGATGTGATTATAATCATCAAAGCAATCTCCCCCTCCCCACCTGTTTCACACCCCAGTAAAGAAGGAAGACAATTTGCCAGATTAAAGATTATGATGATGACTTAATAGAACTGAAAAGAAAACAAACATTACCTTGGAGTTCTTTATCTGGATGGGTTGTGCAACATGGATCTACATATTTTTCTTGTCTTGTCAATTTAGATATTAGAGGGGGGAGAGACAGAGACAAAAAGGCAGAGACAGAGAGTCACAAAAAAAAGAGAGGGCAAGAATGTAAGTTTCCTTTAAAACAAGCCATTGTGATGGAAGGAATCTAGGGCTGCGGGGGCAAGGGATCAGGAGACTGGGGTAATGCTCTGGGACCTTGAGCAAATCACTTCACTTCTAAACCTCAGTTTCCCCATTTGTAAAATGAGAATCTTCAAGTAGAAAACCTCTAAGGCTCCTCCCCCCTCTAACATTCTATGGAACTTTTTTTTTCTCTGTAGAAAGATATAAACAATATACTGGGTTTCATTATTTTGCATCTGTACTGCTGGTCTAAAGTATAGTTTACAATTCCGAGTCTGATTGATGCTGCTCAGCTGTTCCATGTCCCAGAGGAGACAAACATCAAGCGGAAGCAGCCGAGGTCCAGATGAGAAGAAGCTGTGTGTTACTGGGTCTGGGCTGAGGGCTATCTGGTGCTGATGACATTACAGTTAGATCCTAAGACTCAGTTATGTGACAAAAGGAGAAATCACCTGATAAGTAGTTTAATGTGAACTTTGGGTAGCAGAAGCCCTTAAATAATGAGAATAACTGGATGTACAGAGGAATTTTATTCAAACAGCATTTTGTAGATTTTCTCTTGTCTCTTTTTTCATTAATTCATTTATTTTTAGTTTTCAACATTCACTTCCACAAGATTT